GCTCCCATCTTTCTTTGCTTATATATAATCTATTGGTTCTCTCTTTACTGGTCAAATGATGCCAAATTGGGTAATGGAGTATCAATAAATATAAGTCACATTTTACATTTAAATGTTTGAATATAATTATTACTGTTATGTTATAATTAATGGACACGTATATAAGATACTTGAATTCTTATGGTTGTAAAATAACTTTTTCTTGAATAAAGAAAATAATAATAAGTTTCAACATGGAAACAAATAATCATATTAAATAAATAACCCAGAAATATAGTATAAACTCTATTTCATTGATTAAACTGCTCTCCCACAATGAATTATCAGTTTACCAATTGCAAACTGGTTTTATGGTTTTATTTAAATTTGATTTAAACCGATTCTTGAAAATAAAACCAGTTAGATAATGTAACAATCTGGACAGAGGCTCCAGGCTTTTTCTCAACAGAAACTTCCTTTTGAAATAATTTAACAAAGAAAATAGGTATACAAAATAAAAGAAAGAAATGACAACCAAAATTGACTGGAAAAATAATACTTTTAAGATTATTCTTTTTTCACTATATAAAAATATTGCATGAATTGCATTAAAAATATACTTAATTTTATCATCAAAGTTCATTTGCAATTCTTTAAAACATCACAAACTTTTTTTATACCAATTAATTAAATTTTTAGGGTGTTTTAGATACAAATTCTCATTTGCTAATTTGAAATTCATGTGGATTTAATATATATAACAAGAATGAGATGACAGTGGTAGCAGTAGTTGTAATATAGGAATAAACTCTTGTGTATATTATATTTACACATTAAATTTTGTTCACTCATAAGTTGGATCTTAAAAAACCACCTGCCACCATTCAATTCAGTTTTAAAAAGGGTGTCAATCCATAAAAAAAAATTTTGTCTCAAAATTTTTTTTTTTGTGGATTTTTTTAATTTGATAGTTATGCTAATTTTCGTGTTACAATATTTTTGCATTATATGATCAAATTTGAGACAAGCAGAAAAGTAATATGATTGTACTGCTTCCACATGAACAGAGAAAAACAAACTTTTACTATCTACTATTATAAAGTTAAAAATTTTATTATTATTTCTGCAATTATTATTAAAGTCCTGAAGCTCCAATTGTTCGTCACAAAAAAGCTAACTTTTGAAATAATTAAATTAAAAAAAAAGTATATCAAATAATTTATTAGTCTTGCACAAGGTTAATATTAATGGCAGATAGAAATCAATTCATTTTATTGAAAAAAAGCTTTATCATTGTAATAAAAATACCTGAATAATGTTTTTTTTTACAAGTCAAGAATCCAAGGTTTCAAAGATTCCTCTAAATCATCATAACCATCCTCTAAAAATCTTTTAGTGATTTCCTCTTTATAATTGTTTGAATTTGTTTCATTCATTAATTTGGATACAGTTAATGTATCACATTAATGAGCTAATTTAGCAACATTCATTTGAGGGTTGTTTTTAAAAATAGTAATTGCAGTAATTAAATTGTGAATAGGGCCTCCTAAAGAACTGGATATTTCTTTTAGATCTTGTATATTATTAATATTATTATTTAGTAAATTTTGGTTTATTTTGCTACTACTACTGCTATTATCACCAATTGCAATATTATTATTATTATTATTATTAATTTTACTGCTTTCATTTCCAAGATTCTTAATGATGGGTGGTAAAGGTTTTAAGCTAAATTTATCACATTTCTTTTGCCCTTGATTTTTTTTATTTACTGAAATACTTGGCATTTTTCTTTTGCCATTTTCGTTTTTGCCATTTTTGATTTTTTTATTTACTGAAATACTTGACATTTTTTTCTTTTGCCATTTTTGTTTTTGCAATTTTTGTTTTTTATTATTTACTGAAATACTTGGCGTTGTTATTGTTGAATTGTTACCAACTCCCATCAGATCAAAACTATAAGGAATTTTTTCTGTTGACTTGTATGAATTATTATTAACGGTATTAATTCCCAGATCAAAACTATAAGGAATTTTTTCTGTTGACTTGTATGAATTATTATTAATGGTATCAATTCCCAGATCAAAACTATAAGGAATTTTTTCTGTTGACTTGTATGAATTATTATTAATGGCATTAATTCCCAGATCAAAACTATCATTAATTTTTTCTGTTGACTTGTATGAATTATTATTAATGGTATCAATTCCCAGATCAAAACTATAAGGAATTTTTTCTGTTGACTTGTATGAATTATTATTAATGGCATTAATTCCCAGATCAAAACTATCATTAATTTTTTCTGTTGACTTGTATGAATTATTATTAATGGTATCAATTCCCAGATCAAAACTATATGGCATTAAAGATTTCTCTGTATAAATTTTCTCTATTGATTTATATGAATTAATTCCCAGATCAAAACTGTATGACATTAAAGGTTTCTCCACATAAATTTCCTCATCAGTAGTGGATTTATCCGAGACCTGGTAAAGTGTGAAAAAGTCTTAGACTTGGATAATAATAAATCAGCCACATAAACAAGTGTGTTTAACGAACCTTTTCAACTCTAAAAAAAAAAAATATGTATATATATATATTGTACATCAGAAAATTAAAAATACTGTAGATTTATACAAGTTTACATAGCAATGATTGTAACCACCATTCTTTTAATAAACTAGAGTGATGGCGAGTGGCGGGCGATAACCACCACTACCATCCTTAAAACACTTACCCTCGATCTTCAGCATTTACTCTTACTTTGCCTCTTTATCTGAATATTTTTTAGATGACATCTTTAAAAAAAAATAAAAGTAGTAGTTTGTGATTTGATCGACGCGCACATTAATTATTTATCCTATTGGTTTTTTTTTAGTAGGACAGGCGCGAATTGATTTTTTTTTTTTTTTTGTTGGAAAAACAATTAATTTATTGACAGTCCAAGGTGACAAAACGTGAGTGTTGTTGTTTGGTTTGGTTTGGGTCTCCTAAAGAAACGTGTTAATAACTAACCAGAGGTACTATTTTTTATTTGCATTGATATAATGTGGTGTCTTTTATTTTAGCTTATAAATATTTTAATTGGAAACAAAACGCGGAACAGATCTTGCTAGGTAATTACAAGATTTTCATTGATAATATTAATATTTGGCTTTTCGCAATCAATATTAATATTAATATATAATTTAACTACAAGATGTCAAGGCAATAAATATACCATTGAATATGAAACATTTTGATATGCGGAGTTTGATTATTGGAAATTGGCAAGTGTTGAAGCACGCACACTACCTTGAACACTTACAGCTATTCTCTCATCTTCCTTGTGTGTACAAGGCTAATCTGACTTGCGCCCCCCCGATGATACAATGATGCAGCTGAATTCCAGGGGGGGGTAGCTTGGCCCTGGAGTTCACCAAGACTGCATCAATTGTCAATGACACTTTTCACTAATCTTCCCAGACCAGAGAAGGCTGCTGGAATGCTGGCCGAAAAGTTGCTTGCAATGATTCTACTCTAGGGTAAGGGTGGCTCTGTGACCAAGTTGCAACTCTACAGATGAATTGTAATATTAGGTATGCATAAACATCCAGATCCATCAAAGCAATGAGAATCTGCAGCTTGTTTCAAGCACCAGGAGGTTACAATTCAGAGCAGGGTTTGTGGCCCTGAAATTGCATTTTGAGTCTGATGTTAAGAGGAAAATTGTAAAATAGTGTCTGTTTTGTATAATCATTTTCATAAATTCTGTTTCTCTGATACTAAACAATTTATAATTTTTGCCCAATCAATCCCCTGTCCTGTAGATTAAAATTACCACATGATTATTATACATCTTTGTCAGCAATGTGCCAACAAGAAAAAAGCCACAAAATGGTTTGGATTTTGGTATGCTATAAATTAATTATTCCCAAATTCTCTGTTTCTCTTTAATTTTTATTTGTCAACTGACCTTGTTATTTAAATGGGGGTAGGATTGTTGGTGAATAGGCATGCCACTGACAAGACAGGAGACACCTTTGAGACATATCAGCCAAACTCATAGAAAGGGATCTTTTGTCCAGACTTAGGGTCACATGGATGTTAAGCATAGAAAATGTACACTATCAATGTATATTTTTTTTCAACAAAATAAACATTTAAATAATTAATTGTTAAATATTAATACTTTTCTTTTCATAAAAATTACAGCAATCCAGGACTCAACTCTAAATTCAGGGAAAATCCAAAACAGCAATCCAGGTTGCAACCTTCTGAGTTGCAGAATTTTCAACCAGTTGCAGGTGCCAACTTTTATGCTAGTGTGGCAATAACACAAAGCAATCATCACACAAACACCAGCTATCAGTGATCAATGCCCATATGGTGACAGCCAAGCCTGGTCTGAGAAAAGATAAGGAAATGTTTTGTCCAAAGCCTTCCAACATGTTCAATTGCTTCACCTGTGGAAAAAATCCACAGTTATGAGGCGTGTGAAAGCACAACGCTTGCATGTTTGTGGCAGGAAAATTTTAGTTAAATCTGACACCTGTGATCAACATCAGATTTATTATTCATGAGCAACCATAATTGATAATCAGGAAAAATAATTTATTATTGTGAACCCCAGAGGTCTGGGTAGGCATGCATTATTAAAAGCTTCATTTTTGCATGGCCTTGGTATTATTATTACCCAGGTGATGCAATTGTTTGTTATTTCAATGATGATATCAAATGTATTGAATAATTATTGTGATGAATATGGGGACAAAGGAATTCACACATGAGGAAAGTATTAAGTAGCAATATTGTGTTTATTTTATTTTTTATTTTAACCAAGATATATAATTAATCATATTGAAAAAAATACAAGATAAAAAAATTGCCAGAGTGATCCAAGGCTGGAACAATCACACCATTACATGTCCCAAGGTTAATCAAGCAATTATTTGAATCCATTGGTACACTTTTGAAATCTAATTGAAGGGGATATAGGTTTGTATGTAATTTAAAATTCTTTTGTGCTAATATAGAGTCCCATATTTCTTTGCTATTGTAGGTAGCATTGATAAAATTTGATTATTTATGAAAAGTAAACAAATATTGTTACAAGAATAATGAAGTCAAGTGATTTGTTTATTTTATTTTATTTATTATTATATAATTTGATTTGTAATATGTATATTTCATTTACTTATATGGTTAGAATACTGCCTCAAATTCAAAATCATGTTTGAGCTTGAAATCATGCTTCAAGCAGTATATAATTAATTGAAATGTATACAAGAATTCTTAGAAAATCAAATACAGTTTTGACTGTATTCAAATTGCAAATCAAAGCCATTTGCTGGCATATTTCCTATTCATTCTGATTTATATTTTAAATCTATTTTGTTTGGCATTAACTATAAACATTCTCTCAACTCAAATAATGACAATATCAATAATTCTCTTTATAAATAAATGACCATCATTATTTATTTGTTTATCTGTTTTAGTTCAATCAATAAATCCCAGGTCTCAAGATAATTTATCTTATCCATTTTTAATAATAATAAATTTAAATCTAATATAATTATTTTTCATGGAACAAGTTGAGGATTTTTATTTTCTCTTTTATATCAATTATTGAATATATACAGTACATGAAAATATTTCAGATCTTTATTTGCAGATCCACTCAAATTTAATTCTTTTCTGCCCACTTTGCTCATCACCACAGGACCAATTTTAGAATCTC